GTGATGATTCCCCCGCAAGAATTCATGCTGAGAGTGTGTAATTTATGAACGAAACAACACACATATAATTTCTTTTGAAACTGCCTGATTGGCCCCACTTTATACTAAGTACGGGCACTCACGTCCATTGTGCGTTTTCGGTGTCTAATCATCAAACGAGCAGCCAATCTAGCTTTCCAACACTCTCGGCTTTTTCTTGTTTTCGACAACAAATCGCTCAAATTTGTTCTTACAGAAATTCTTTACGAGGTTCCAAAAAACTGCAACTGCTTGCGGATCAGGTCACCCAAAGGAATAGTTCAACTCCGAGTGGTGGTGCGCCGGAAACAGGTTACGCAAATAACGGCTATGTAGTTGGCGATTCTTATTCATACGACAATGCAGAGAGTGTTGACGGTGAATGCGAAACAATTCGTAAGTTCAGAGACTTAACGCCCTTATTACCGTTATAAAATAATCGGCGTGCATTTTTATAAGCATATGTTTCAATTTGGTTTTTTAGATGCTTATTCCTGATGTGAAATTAGAAGTTGCGTTATTGCAGATCCCCTAAATTTCAGCTCCTTAGTTTTTTCTGATTTCTGAATTGAAAATCAGTGACAGAGTTCAGACGTTCCCCAACTCACACACACATACACACGGGCAACTTCTTGATTGTACAAGATTCAAAAACGCATAAAAACATAAAGGAGTGCTGCACACAAAGAATAGGAAACTCTGAATGTGAGCAACGGATAGACGGAAAAAGCACAATTTTTCATCATATAAAAATGACTATACCTTAAATAAAATTGTCTTGGACAATTGCAATTGCGCTTGAAACTGTGGTCTTGGATATTGGGCTAAATCCCAAAATCTGTGAGGGAAAGGGCAGAAAAATGTGAGTATGCAGGGCATGAAAATTATATTTTTTTGCAAAATTTGTCAAGCTTTTGGTTTTTTTTAAGTTAATAAGTCGTATATTGTCATTTTCATGAAAGGATAATTATTATGATTAATTAACGTCGCAAGACCGTGCACTTTCTAACCACTGCCAGCCGCGGTATTTCGTTGGTTGGACGTCGATTTTAGAATACACATGTATTTCGCATGCCTTTGACGGTATTTGCAGTCAAGTGCTGAAAAACAACACATAGATATTTTCCAATAGATAAGCAGAAATGCGTTATGTTTAAAATCGTTGTACTTTTCTCGCAAAGGCTGATTTTTGTGAGAAGCGGACAGATTCACCTTTCGATAGCAAAAATGAGCTCTCTCTTTTTTCTCACTTAGAATTGTAAATTTGAAGAGTGTCTTGCTCAAACCTACGTTGAACCTACGTTAGTCTGTTCTCGTACATCACTGGTGTAACTGAATAGCAAAAATGGTAATGATTGTTTAGCCCTGGAACAAGTGATACTGTCGGTGAATCGTGTCGCCGAGCATCTAGAGAAGAGAGAAGGACGTGAGGAGGAATCGAAGTTGTTGCGCGATTTTTTTATGCAAC